TGCTTTGCACGCAAAATTCCTAGTTTTTCATATTTGCACGTAAAACACTCTTAACATGCTTCATGTAGTCGAAGCAAAATGTCCAGAGATTTTATCAAGAAAAATTCCCATCTGGCCTAAACAAATGACACCAGTTTCTATCCATTTTGATATTGAAGAAACTTTCTAAAGCTCATAGTCATTATCTATTGTTACGACATGAAAAGGTAGGACCGATTAAGGGATCCAATCAGCCTCCGTGGCAAACAATTCAAGGGCTCATGCCTCATACGCTAGCATAGGCAGCCCAGATGCATACTGGCAAACCGATCTAGGTGCGCGCAAAATCCGACTCTCCCACATAAAACATCTGGATAGACCTCTCTACAGGCAGACCCCATTTATAGAACCGGTCAGGACAAGGCAGTGGCAAGATCTCAAATGAACCCCATATGACGTGAGTTGACAAGACAACTCACTGCCACTGCTGCCGTCGCCACCATCTTGTTTGGCCAAGTCTAAAGTACAGACTAGGCTTTATAGACACAAAAACTGTGATAGCATTTAAGACAATGATTGATTGATGTATATGACAAGAAAAAGAAGTCGTTTGGATGAGGCCATGTGTGCTACCATCCAATGGACTCCATTCATTTGGTTCAAGTATAAAAGGTTACACTTAGTGTCATACGAGGGCGATGAAATTTTAGACTTTTAAAGTTATATTCTTGCTGCACACATTTTTAACTATTGACTCCCAAGTCAACCCCTTTTTTTATTTATTGGAGGCTCACGTTCAAAACTCTCCCACACTCTAAATTATTTCTCCAACTGACTTGACCATCGGAGTGCGCGCGGCCAACTTCATCCCCTCCGAAGAAGGCCACATGTAACTAACGATTCTTCCAAGTGTGCAGGAATTCAACTTGCGTGGACGTGAGATGTCTTATGATCTGTTGGCCACATCATTGATACTTTTTTTAGGTTCAACATCTATAATGGCAAATTCAGGTATATTGGATTAAGACATAGCTTGATTAGACAGTTACTAACAGATGATGTAATAACTATTGACTATGTCAAGTCTAAACTTAGCAAGTCCTCTGACGAAAGGCCTAGCAAGTGATTTAATTTGAAAAACATCAAAGGAAATGTGATTGGCCCGCTAAAGATCATCAGTGATAAAAACTCCACCCAACACTTGAAAGTACGTTCACGTGATTGGTTGCAAACACGAATAAAGCCAATAGGGTTAGACCATTTCGACTTTTTCCATCCAAAACGGCCGTTAAGTAAGATCGGCTAACTTGCATGCGACTTTTAAAACTCAGTCCACCAATTGCGATCCATTAAAATGAAAAACATAAAAAGGGGGGGACTGAAGTTTACAAATTCTCAAAAATTGGGGATAAAAATCAGACAGGGTTAGGGATAAGTCAGTTACTAATGTTATTCGAAGATTGAAAACGAATGGTGCAATTTACCTTATTTTTCTAAATTTGTAACCCAAGAGAGAGATCCATAACTTCTATATTATATCCTGCATAGATCACCAATGAATTTTACAACCTTCTGCCACAATTCTTCACAGCTTAATTGTTACTTGAATCATGCTATAGGTCAATGGTAATTTCTAAATTTGTAATTGATAATTTTCTTAGTCAAAATCATGTCCTTATTAAATTATATTAGGAGTATATCAAGTTGTAATCAAAGTTAAAATAAGAGTTATTGAATCCTACTTATAGCAAAATAGTTTGATTGGTAGTATAGATCTTGAAGGATTTTAAGGTGTCCAAGAAGATCACGTATGAACATTGAAATGCAATTCGAAGTCAAAGAAGTATAAAAGTGTCGCGCAAATCATTCTCCAGATTTTTAGTCACAAGTTGCAACGTATTTTTCACCTAGAAAACATTGGAATTTGGACAAGACTACCATAGAAGAATTATATTGTAGGATTTTGAGTTAGCTTTCCAACGTATTTTAAAACTTAAACCATCCATACATAGAAGGATTTAAACAATAAAATGGAGAAGATGAGAGTGATTAACTAACCACACTGTAGATTATACTGGAAACCGTAAGCATTTTGTAATTTCCCAAAAAGGCATCGACGAGGAAGATAGACCCAACCGGCAATATAATAGTAAGTCCCCTACAAATGTTCAAAATTCCAGCAGCATGAGTAAAACTCAGTTTCCATGCATCTGTTAAATATTTTTGCGTCACCCACATTGCGTACGCAGCCAATAGATCAGCCCATATCAAAACTGCCTTTACAGAGAGAAGCAAAACACCAGCAAAGTATCAACTGAATACCCATAATTCTAACAAAAGCTGCCATTTCGAATATAATTGGACTTCCTGCATAACAATAATAAAAGAAAAATCACATGGAAATTTGAACAAATTGCCCAAATTAATAATCAAAAACTTTGGCGAAAGTTGATAGATATAGTAATATTTGAATCTTAATTACCTTCAAAACCTCTCTTTACATAACTGATGAGAGATTGGCTGCTTTTTATATATGTTATAGAAGAAGGCCACTGATTATTCTTGTCTTCCACAGGTGTGACACTTGATGGGATCAAAATTTGAACTTGAATCTTTCTTTCATTTTAATACTATATTAATCGTCTCGTCAAGCTTAATGATTATTAATTTTTTAAATCCATCGTATGGCTAAGTTTGAATTGCTAAAATAAAGAGGAAATTTTGGGAATCAATTCTTGAAATATGATCGTGCACGCAAACTAGGATTCCCAATTCCCATCTGTCGATTAACTATTTCAAGATGATCAAGTTTCTCCACGTCTCCAAGAAATTTAACATCGTGGACCCTTTTTCTTTAACAGGAATTTCACAGTTTCACCTTGCCATTTAAATAATTAACGCTAAACAAGAAAAGTAATAATCTGAATCTAAAAGAATAATAATACAAGTGTTTATTTTTGTAGAAGAAAAAAACGATTGTGATTGTATTACATATCACATGGCTAAATGGTTTCTTATTGCCAAGCAACAAAACTTATTGATACAATCCTAAATCCTTGTTGTCACCTTAGCAATCCAACTCCATTAGGCAATTTCTAGATAATCCGTATAAAATAATTTAAAAATGCGGCAAATATGAATGAAGATTAAGAAATTCAAAGTTAATAAAGACCCAACGGAGGCAAAAATGAGAATTTAGTGACAATTTCGAACTTATTTTCAATTACACATTCTTTCAATAAAATATTTTACAGTAAACTCAAAACTTTTTTTCTTTTTTTAACCACATATTCTCCAAAAACCCACTGTTACAAAACTGAATTTCCACAAAAATGGGTCTCAAACTGTCAAACATAGGGTGCTTTTGGCACAATTTAAGGAATGGAATTCTTACATTCTTACGAAAAAGTATCTGGTCAGCTTATCAATACTCAGCAAAGCTCCTTTATCGTTGGTAGAAAAACAACATTTTCTCGTCGGAGGATTATTGAATCAGTTACTAATTTTTGTGAGAGCTCTCTTCCCTTAATTTATTTAGGAGCCCCTCTGTTTTATGGCCGTTGTACTTCCTCGTTATTTGCTCCAATGGTAGACAAAGTTCGTAAGAAGGTTGCAGGCTGGAAAGGTATGCTTCTTTCTTGGGGAGGTAAGCTTACTCTCCTTCAATCAGCGTTAGCCTCTATACCTATATATTTAATGTCAGTGGTACGCCCTCCAGATAAAGTAGTCCATGAACTTCATCAAATCTTTGCAAATTTTTTCTGGGGTGATTATGAGGGCAAATATAAATATCACTGGATTGCTTGGAAGAAAGTATGATTTCCTATTGATGAAGGGGGATTGGGAGTCCAAAGTTTATTTGATGTTTTTGCCTCACTCCAATGTAAAATGCTATGGAGAGTCTTGATGGGTGACTCTTTATGGGCTTCATTCATAAGGCAGAAATATTTGACGGTAAGTTTTAATATGAGCTCTTGTTCACCTGGTCTTACTGCATCGCCCTATTGGCGTAGTTTAAGTAGACATTTCCCCTTTATCCAAGAACAAATTAGGTGGAGAGTCGGCGAAGGAAAGATCTCATTTTGGTATACAATCTGGTCAGGTCTTGGTTCTTTATACGACCAAGGCTCGCTTGTTAATGAGCCTATGTTACAGCTGAAAGATGTTTGTGCTAAGGGTTCTTGGAATATTGACCTTATGCACTTTGGTAGCCTACATTCATAATCTGTCCATTCGCTTAAAGCAAGTGCCGGATAAACTTATTTGATGTCTAACTTTATCAAGAGAATTCTCTACTAATACGGCTTGGAGCCTATTACATGAGACCAAGGACATATTTCATCTCTTCAAATTGATTTGGAATAAATTACTTCCGGTGAAAATCTCTGTTTTTTCTGGCAAGTTTGGCGCAGTATAATACCAGTGGATGATGTTGTTAGAAGTCGTGGCGTTCCTTTGGTATCAAAATGTCATTGTTGTTCTCATACAAAGGTGGAGGACATTGAGCACCTATTTCATACTAGCGAACCAGCGACTCATACCTGGTCCCATTTTGCTAACATTTTTGGGCTCGAATTGTATTTGCTAGTTCATGGCATGCTGTTCTTACTAATTGGTGGCACCAATTTAATGGTTCTTTGCAACTTCACCAACTTGTACTTTTGACCCAGGCACTCATTGCTTGGGAGCTTTATCTTGCATGCAACGAGGCTAGATACATGGAGGTTTGGTCAATGGTCATAAAATTTGCTCCAAAGTAAAACACTGGTTGGTTGAATTAAGTCCACTTCTCCGTCCATCACGTGCTACTCCCTCTCGTCTTCATGCTGCTCTCTATTGTCTTGGTATGGTTCCCACTCCTTTGACAACTACGGCTCCTTTCCTTGTTCAATGGTATCGTCCCCCTTGTGATATTCTTAAACTTAATGTTGATGGTGCTAGTTGTGGTAACCCTGGTAGAGCCGGATGTGGTGGGGTGCTTAGAGATTGGAAAGGAAAATTTGTTTTTGCCTTCTCTCAATCTCTTGGCGTAGCTACTAATTCCATGGCGGAAGCAATGGCTCTGAAATTTGGTTTGTATTATTGCTATATTATGGGGGTTTCAAAGGTATAGGTCAAACCAAATTCCCAAGTGATTTGTCATTGGTTTAATGGGATGGGTATTATTCCTTGGTCTCTTCAGTAGGTTTGGGATGACATCATTGATATGGCTGACTTCATTGATTTAAAAGTCACCCATATTTTTAGAGAGGCAAATTCGGTTGCTGACTCGTTGGTTAAGATGGGTACAACTGGACACTCTCAATTCTCTACCTATATTAGTGCCTTCTCTAAGACTACGATAGGTTGTTTTGTCTTAGATTCTAGTGGTTGTCCTTCCTTTCGAATCCGTTGAATGCATTGTTTTGAGATTGATTTAAAAATATTAGATGTTAATTTGTTATTTAAAAAAAAAACACATTATAAGGGAAGAGTAAGGGAAGTAGTACTCATTTTTACTGCTTTCCTTTTATTCTTTACTTTCACTGTTAGAGAAGTAGTACTTCCTTATTTATTGATTTTAGTGATATCATTTGTAACCACGGTATTCCTCCACCACAAGTGAGGGCATATCAATAAACTCTTGGAGGTTTCGCCCTCCTTCTACCAAAAAAAAAAAAAAAGGAATAGGTACGAAGCTGATGATATCAACTTCTTAACAATACTTTGACAACTTGTTTGATAAGATCAACTGTAAAGTTCCTGGACAGTACCAAAAAAATTGTGCATTTTAGCCCCTGTTTGGTTTAGACAAAAATCAAATTTTAGTAAATTTTGATAAAAGTTGATAAAATGTGTGATTGAAAAGTTGTGAATTCCATAATGTATGATTTTAATTTAAGTTTTAATTTTAATTTTAAGTTGAACCAAACTAGTGTTTAATACCAACATGTATAGTGGTGGCAAACGGGTCGAGCGGCTCGTCGGCTCAGCCGCTTGACTTGAGCCCACAAGTGAGCGGCTCGTGGGGTCATCCAAAGCGAAGAATTTATCCCTTTTTTTTTTTTTGGAAAAAAAAAAGTTTATCTTAAAAAAATAAAAATAAAAATAAAATAAATAAGTAAACAAAAAATGACGAGCTCGCGAGGTCGGCCCATGAGTAACAAGCCGAGCTCATGTGCATACGGGCCGAACCGAGCCCATTGCCACCTCTAAACATGCACAGGGAACTAGAACTCCTCTTTACAGAAATTACAGACGAGAAAGATGGAGATAAACCTCATAGCACCTCAGAACCAATTAGAGCTGAAGTCAATTTCTCGTGGAAGAACGTGAAATGATACAGCCAACACAATTAGCCTTCAAAATTTAGATGGACCTCCTTACCACGATAGCCTGAGTAATTAGTACATGACGATATTACATTTCATTACTGTTGTGAAAAACGTTATTTCCTTCTTCTTCTTCTTCTTCTTCTTCTTCTTTTTTTTTTTTGGCCTTTTCATCTTTATTTCACAGTTCATTGCGTAAAAGGTCATTTTCATCCATTTTTACAATTAGTGTAAACAAGTTTTAAATAAATTATTAAAATGGTAATTAACACATAATATCCATACATTTCACTATTATTGTGAAAAACATTTATACCTTCCATTTTTTTTTTAGTATTTTTACTCTTAATTACACTTTTGATTGCATAAATCATCATTTTTATTCATTTTTATCCAATTTCTCAATAAAAGCTTTGAAAAGTAGTGTTGGACACCATGGGCGGACGTTGAGTGTCCAGAAGTGCTTCATGGTTGAGTAATTTAGCACTAAAATCTTCAAAAGTAAAGTCTTTATCCCTGGAGGCAAAGTTAAAAGAAGTTATAAAAGGATTGAAATCCTGGTTGAGACCTCCAAGGATGAAGGAAATTAAATCTTGATCATCAATGGACTTCCTTGCTGCTCCAAGTTGGTTTGCAATGGATTTAGCATTTCCAAATATGCAAAACAGTTTCTGGAACCTTGTATAATAGTCTGCAATTAACATTTCATATGAGCACTACGAGAACGTGACTGGCTGGAAAATCAGGTTTTAAGAGCATTCCAAACTTGTTTAGATCTGTTTAAACCATACACTGATGCAACAATATTTTGACTAATTGAGGATAAGATAATTCCAAGTAGAGCTTGATCTTTCTTATACCAGGTTGTATAAGAAGGATTAGGGAAATTATCAGCAAGGGTCTTCGCAGGGACAAGTTCAAGCCTTCCACAAACCCTAGAAGATCATTACTGTTAAGGAATGGCAAAAATTGAGACTGCCAACCCAAGTAATTTCGTCCATCATGTTTGAAGGATACTGGTAATGAGGTATGGGAGAGATGGAGATGATTGTTGGTATTGACACCATTGAATGAATAGGAAGAAGACATTGTGCTGAAGCAAATCCAGGAAAGAAATTAGCGTGAGCTATTATGCTCTGATACGAAGTTAAAAAAGTATTCAGATATATTGTTTTGGCTAACTTACCAAAGCATTGTATATTAATTTGAATTTATAAGATTACATTGTAACAGAATAATCAAAAAAATAAAATAAAATGAGCTAACTTAGCTAATAGATGTACATGCCAAACTTTGACTGAACCAATTCATAATTCAAATCATTCAAGTGGTTAACGTAGCAGCAAAATCTGGAGAAAAATCTGCAGTAGGTGGTGGTGTGGTGTCGCAACTCTTATGCTGGTGGTGGTGACAAGGTTGCACGGTGTTATGTTGGTGGTGGGGTTGGTATTCGTAGTGGTAGTGGTAGTGAGGCGCTGTGTTCAGTTGGTATTGGTGTCGGTTCTGCTGGTGGTAGGGTGAAGAAGGTTTGTGACTAATTATTTAGTTGATTGTGACAAAAAAGATAGTTAATTTATGACCAATAACTAATATATATAATTTATAAAATGTGTTATTGTGATACATTTATAATTGTGACTCACAATTTGTGTCTTTGTAACTGTAATAATAATTTTGTGGCATTTGTCATCAAGAAAATAATGCGTGATTAGTTAATTTTATAATTTGTGATTGATAAATAAATTGCGACCTATAAAATTGTGATTTGTGATTACAAAGCTTTGTGATCGTGACTAGTACATAACTGTGGCCATAGTCATGGCCGCGAGCTTTTTGAAATGTTTTTTTTTTATCTTTTCACTTTTTTTTTTTACATTTTTCTTTAATTTTTCAGGAGCGTCGTGGGCTCGGCTCGTGGGCCTAAGGCTCGGCTCGTCGAGCTCACTTGCAGCTCGGCTCGGGCTTGACTCACGAGCCAAGCGGCTGAGCCGACGAGCCGCTCGGCCCATTTGCCATATCTATGTGGCCATAAACAGTATAATATTGTGATCTTAATTTATTTAATTAATAAAATATTTTTAGTGTTCTATTTAGTTAATAAAATTTAATTATGACTTGGTTTTTGAAATCGTGTCTTGCAATTATCTTATGGGAACAATACATTTCTAAGGTGTTTACTTTACACATTTTCAAAACTACAAAAACAAGTTTCAAATTTCACAACTCAGGTTTTTTAATTTTTTATTTATGAATTAATGAATTATTAAATATTTAATTTTATTATAATATTATTACCCCACCCCATCTCCACTACCCATATCGCTCCGGGAACTATTCCGGCAACTATTCCAATCACAACTCATCTCCAGCGATCGTTCCGACAACTGCTCCGATTTCGACAACAATTCGGATGACCGTTCTACCGCCACTTTGTTCCGGCGACTGGTCCGATTCCGGCGACGATTCTGACTTCTGCGAAATTTTTTTAAGCGAAATTTTTTTAAGTCACAATTCAAAATTTTCATAGGTCACAATTTGTTTATTGGTCACAACTTAGAAATTTAAAAGTCACAATTTGTTCATCGGTCACAGATCCCAAAATTTATAAGTCACAATACTTATTTAGGTCACAATTTATCAATTTATTAGTCACAATTAATAATTTTTAGGTCACAAATTAATAATTCTTATGTCACAATTAATAATTTTTTGGCCACAGATAACCAAATACTTGGTCACATACCACTAACAATAACCACTATCGTCGCCGCCCCCGCCACAAAACCGCCACCACCTCACGACAACCAGTACCAACACCACCGTCTCAACAGCTAACACCCCACACAAAACACCACTACCACCACACAAAAACACTACCACCACCGTCGCATCCAACCACACAAAAACACCACTGTTGCAGCTGGATGGCTATCAACACCACCGCCGCGGGATCTGTGCACAAAAACCATCAAAAACCACAAAAACTACAATGGATCTGTGCACAAAAACCACAAAAATACAACGGATCTGTGACAAAAACCATCAAAAACCACAATAACCACTACCGTTCGCGATTGCAGCGGCGTCGTGACGCCGCCGCGAATTGCAGCAGCGTGGCGACGCCGCTACTGTGAGATCTAATTAGATAAATATTGATGGGCCTAATAACTGAGCCCAAGAGTCGTTATTATTGACGAGCCCAACAAGAGAAAATTGTTGGTACGTGTGACCCTCTCAAATAAAAATTGATCAGATTACCTAAAGGATAAGTAAGGTTCAAGTTCATTATATATTCCACTGAATCTTATGCTCAAGGTCATAGCAGTCGGAAGTCTAATGGTTTGCTCCTCCCATGTGATATTCATGCCTGTCACCAAAAAAAGGGATTAAAATTCAATTCCAAATCAATATTTAATTCTTCGAAAAATAAATAACGACCAACCATCAAAGACACTTTCAAACTTGACAAACTTATGAAATTATTTCAAAAATAAGGTAATATTAATTAAATAAATAATTAAATAGATTAAAGTCACAATAACTTACAAAGATACAAAATGTGAGTTACAATTATAAATTTAGTCATAAATCATACATTTTTATATGTGACAACTTATTTATCGATCCAATTATCAAACTAATTGGGTACAACTTATTTCTCAGTCACAAATTAACAAATTAATTGACAATAATTTATTTATCGATCATAAATTATTAAGCTAATTGATCACAATTACCCAATTAATTGGTCCCAAATTTCCCTTCATCTCCCCCACCTCACTCCACCACCGTCGGCACCGCCTTTAATGAACTATCACGACTTCTACCTCCACTACAACCAACCAACCAACCATACCTACACCACCACTGCACAATGAGTGATGTAATGTCGTCGCCAACGCCATGACCACAACTGCAGTTTAGTGATTTTCAAGAGATTATTGAACTTCAAAAATTTCCTAGTTAGTCACCGAACTTTACAAAATATAATCACATTCATCATTGAGAACTTTAAAAATTTTCCCATTAGTCACTGAGTTTTACAAAGTATAATCCGATTCATCATTGAGTGCTGGATGATATTATATTTTGTAAAGTAAAGTGACTAATGAGGAAATTTTTGAAATTGAATGACTCCTTGGAAGTCTTATGCAAAGTACAGTGGCCAATCATGTAATTATCCCTTTGAATATTGAAGTGAAAAATTGAAAATTATATATGGGTGTAATTTCCTCGTAATTTTAACTACACATTTTATTATATGCATAACTATTTTATTTTTCTTTTTTCTTCCCAATTTTCCTTATTTGAAACCGCTAGCAACAACAGCAGAAAATCATTTAAAAATAATCAAATTTTTTCCATCGAACTTGTCCTTCTTGGAATGAACCCTCCCATCTGTTCCAGCGATCATAATATACTTGTCTTTTCTAGTCAAATTTGTGCATTCAAACCCTAATGTTCCACCCAGCACCCTTTGAACATAATTTGCAACTTCAATGGCAGATTTTCCACCCCTGCAAGTCAGTTCTGGAGGCAGTTGATCCAAGAAAGTGATCTCATAAACGGGTCTCGGGTTCATGAACACGAAATACGGATCCAAAAATTTGTACCCTCGGGCTGACGTCCCGTAGAAAACACTTTGTTTTGTGTTGATCGCCACTGGCACAATTCTATCAGTAAGTTCGGCAAAAAGTGCACTAAACCTTAGTAAAAATGGCTCTCTACAAGTTGTACCCTCGGGACATATTACTAGGTCACCTTCCTCGAGCAAACGTTTGATATTTTCCGCGTCTTTTTCTCTTTCTCTTGATAGTGCAACCGCTTTAATCGGTGAAATGAGTTCGGAGAATTTACTTATGCTATAAGTGACACAACTTATTTTTCGGCCTAGTGCGACTGCGGTGACAACCGGGTCGAGGATGGTGCGGTGGTTGCAGACGAAGAGAACGCCGCCTTTGCCTGCCGAGGGAGGCGGAGGAGGGGTGCCATTGACAATGAGCTTAATTCCAAGAATCATATAGTTGTATCGGACAATTTTTTCTGGCAAGGGGATGTTCAAATAAACCCTAATGAGAGAGAGAATAATTCCAATTGGCATCCATAAGAAGGTCACAAGAGCCACTAGAGGTGTAGGTTTTTGTACTAAACGACCCTCATGAAAAATGACTGGGCACCGAAGTTTGTTTCTTGGTAGTGCCTCAGTTCTTGTTCTAGGAACCATGTATCCTTCCTGCAATTTACATGGAGAAATTAATTAATTATTTATAACTTATATATCGAAATAAATAAAATTTTAGGGAAAATTGCACTTTTAGTCATCAAACTATTATTCCAGTAGCAAGTTTGTCCTCAAACTTTTTTAGTTTCACAATTCCCATACGGCAGAATGAGTTCAATTTTTATAAAATTATCACGTAGCCCTCCACTTTCAACTTTATGAAGATAATTTTGCTTCTGAACCTAGACCGAAGGTTCAGAAACTTGGAGTGGGGCATGTTTTCATAAGGATCACATGACAACATAAAGAAGATTTTGAATGTTTTCGATCTTAGTGACTGGTTGTGCAACTGGAATGTAAAGTTTGGCTTTGAGGGATCAAATTGCACATTTTTTTAAGGTTAATGACCTACTTGCTATTGTGATAATAGTTTGAGGACCGACTCTTCAACTTTCACACACACATACAGTCCATGTTTGGCCCCGTTTTATAAAATTCATTTTTCCTCAAATTTAATTTTAATCGCATATTTCATTGAATTCACCTCTTCTATCAACTTTTGAACCATAATTTTATAATTTTAATCAAAATTTATTAAAAATTTATGTTTTAAATAAACCAAAAAGGGACATAATCTTGGTCCTTTTGATATGTGTGTAATGGATGGGTGGAGATGGGGTTGATGAAGAAACGACACTCTTGTGGCAATCTAATTGAGGCAGAAAATGAAGCAGACTAACCTTTTTTTATTTCACTTTCGGGCAAAAAAAAAGGTACAAAGTTAACTTAAAGTGTGACCTTTCATGAGATAGATATGTTGAGTGAGAAAAAGAAAAACAGTTGGAAGTTAAAGATGCGTGTTGGATGTAAAGTACATGTCAACCCTTTGACAACTATAATATGCCCCTATTTGATGACCATTATTTGAGTAAATTAACTCCCAAATAATGAAAGAACTTAGACTCAAAATAGATATATAATGAGAATATAATTCTCGCCAACCCTATCAGATTATAGAGAAATAATTTACCTTGCATATGGACATGAAATCATGGTCAGTCTCTCTGTCCCCAAGACCTAAATTTGGTACATTTGTCCCAAATTCTTTTAAAATGGCCAATTTTTTGTCTTCTCCAACAAGAACACCCGGTTTTTTAACAAACCCTGTTGCACGTCCAGATTTTGTCACCTCTAACTCTGTTCCTAAGACCTTATCAGCCCCGAAATAATTCTTAACAAAATGTTCCACCATAATTCTAGGGCTTGCAGTGATTATATATCTTTTGCCAAAAGAATTGAACACCCTCCAAGTTTCAGGGTGCACATCTTCGGCATAGAATTTAGGCAGAACAGACCTGGAAACGAGCTCAATGTCACAGATTTTAAGCCCCGAAAAGGCAATGAAAATAAGTGTTTTAATGGCTAGTGATTCAGATACAAATATGTATACAAAATACACGAATGGAACCGACGCTAGAAGCACTAGTGCCCTCAACAGGCTACCTGCCTCTAGAGCCACCAGCATGTAGTAGGGAAAAGCACTTCTTGATATCAAAAGTGTGCCGTCTAGGTCACTTGCCACCGTCTGATTTGAACGCCCTTCAACGTCGCATTTTGTTATTGGTTCAAAATGCCGATGAGCACCCATTTTAGAGAGAGAGATGGAAATCTAGAAAGAGAAAGGAACAATGTGTGTGGCCTAGTTACGTTACAAGAGGATCGAGGAGGGGTTTAAAAAGGAATGAGCAACATGGACATGATGAGAACTGTCTCATAAATGAGTGTATGTGTGTGCATATAAATATTACGTGGTTGAGAAAGAAAGAGAGAGTTGTATTTATTAATTTAAGTAAAACAAGATTGGCTGCTTTGAAACTTAAAATTAAAGGAGCTGTGAAGAAGGGGTTCAAAGTAGTTGAATGCCTACGTTAACATTCAATTAGCCTACTTTTTAGTTTTCGGATGCCACCATGCCTGCGTCATTATACTTTCAGCTTACTTTTGTCTCACCATTGGCTTCACCTTAGCCAAATCTCTCTCTCTCTCTCTCTCTCTCTGTTACGGAGTGCATGAAAAGTGATATAAAGTCAACATTTTATCCCGGGATCTAACATGTTACACGTTGGAAGATAGACAAGTTAATAGTCCATAACTTACCGTACATGACTTCACTAGATTGGTTCGAAGAGAGTTTTATCTTACTTACCTAGTAAGTTGATTCATAATTGACACATAGATATGTGCATGTACATGCACATCTACAATTTCAACTAACACGTAAGTATATTTATATTAAGGGAAAAATTTCACATTGCTTCAGTATTAAAACAAAATAAATATATGAGAGTTAGAGCTATCCATTTAAAGATGGCATTTTAAGAAAAACCCCAAAATTCAATTTGATATTAAATCCAAATAATTCTAAAAACAAATTTAATTTGTCTAATACTTGAATGAGCAATCATATTACTAAGAGTGTGTTTGATTTACTATATTTCCATGAAAAAAATGTCATTTTCCCACCCAAATTCTTACTTTTTGGATGTTTGATTGACAATTTTTTTTCATAAAAAAATATTTTTCAACTTTTAGTCATTTGACAATATTTTCCTCAAAAACAAGAAAAACATTTTCTTTAGGAAATGGTGATTTTTATTTTTGAGGTAGTTCATTGTCTATTAATTCTCTCTCTCTCATCACCAACCAATAAAAAATGGACGAGTATAATATTTTTTGATTGAAAATTAAATCAATGAAACACATTTAATTAATAATTTTCATATAAATAAGTTCTAGACAATTGAATTATCTAGAATTTATTTTATTTCCTTACAAATTCCATGCTCGAAACTAAACGAACCCTAAATCAATTTTCTTAAATGATTAACCATCCTATGGAGAATATTAAACGAAAACCCCAAACCAGTTAAATGTAAAACCAAAAATCGACTTGACTTACTCTTAATAAAAGCTGACGTATTGATTAGGCACTTCAAGACTCGACAAAACACATTTAGTCATTAAAGGTCACGATTATCTTAACAATAATCTGTGCAACACGAGGCCAAAGGGTCCCTTAGTCTGGTGGCAACTGTTTCTACTTCTGCATAATATTATGAAGCCAAAAGAATGTCACTGTTCTGACATCTCATCACAAGTTGTTCTTCACACAATACGGATATGGCTAAAAATCGAAACTTCAACAGGACACTGTAAATATTCCAGTGGGTCTCTGATTCAATGCAACCAATCAAAATGCACGTGATCAGCCCAATAGTTGGGTCTTCCGGTTCAAATTGTAAGTGGGTAGCCAACCAGCCGTTCAAGCCGAATGGAAGCTGGCTAAAAGCTGAGAGCTAGCTCTTTAATGTTTTTCACTTTGCCTATGAAATGAGTTTCCAAGAGGTAGATGAACTCCACACTAACAATCATTACTCAAAGATTTCACCATATTTTTTTCTTGTTTGTGAAGAAAGAATTAACTTGAAAGCAATTAAACCCTTGAAATTGGATAAGTGGAAATCTTTTTGTAGTTGGGGTTAGGAACTAATTATGTGGGCATGTCCATATAGTTTATTTTTCTGTCTCATAAGTTATCGATTCAAGTTGTTTGCTCGTCTAGACCATTTTCGTATTCTCTTTCTTATTGATTCAAGCGATAGTTATGCATATTCGAACAACGATAATATTTTGGAAGGTAGTATTTTCATTCATAAAACATTTCTAATTCTTTGATCCAATCACAATTTATATAACTTGATTGCACCATTTCTCATATGTTATTTTTAGCAAAATTATATTACTAGTAGCAAAATGACAAGGAAATATGAGATTTACACTTGTGGTGCATCAAGTAAATAAATAAATAAAATATAAATGTAAACTGATCTCATTTAAAATTCAAATTTTTGAATCAAAATTCAATTTTTTCGAAGACCCAACAACACATGTATATATATATTCAATATTATTTTGAGGATTGAGTAAGAATTATGAGAATAATCAGCTCAAGGAAGAAAGAAGGATGAGACTCTCCTTAGGTGTCCCAAAATAATAAGTTAATTATATAGATATGCGCACACACTGAGAAACTAGGTGTCCCAAAATAATATGTTAATTATATATATATACACACACTGTGAGAAACTTGTGGACTGTAAGTAATATGCTAGACTAGGGGTGGATGGGTAGGGGTCATGTATGTATTTAGGTAAGGTCAAAGTCATCCAACGAAAATGAGTAGGCCTCATTTCTGAAATGACCATGTCAAATACCCTATTCAACACGTAGGTCTAACTTACTAATTATTCACCACAAATGTCTTTTTAAAGTTGAAAGATAAACATACCTTTCATTTCAAAATTAAATGGCGAGATTTCTCCTCTCAAGCCCTCGACCTGGACCTGGACCTGGACCCCCCGACCATCCTGACCCCTGGAACCACCAGGACCACCTGAAAGCCCAGACTACCCGAACCTCGGACTATCCGGACCCCCCAAACCTTGTTAATATATAACATATCTGTCATGATTTCTTCACAAATTTGGATCTTTTCAACATAATAAAAGAATTTTTTATTTAAATCTTTGAATATTAAAGCTTAAAACACATTATCCATCAATATTATAAGCAAAATTCGAATTTAACCAAATAATATGAAGAAATCTTGAATATAGAGATGGATGAAAAAACTTGAAGAATGACAATTGAGATGGGGATGGAGTAGAAGAATAAACATTGAAGAACAAAAAATTGTAAGATTTTCAAATTTTCAACGTTCAAAATGGAAGTAAAATGGATATTGTCATTTCTTTAAATTTTTTTAACTTAAATTTGGTCAGAAGCCATTGTGAAAGACCAGATCAACCGGCCACATACCACCATTTCCTCAAATGAGTACCGAAGTCTATGAATTTCCTTTATTTGATACCACTCGTTCTGAAATAACTATATTTTATGACTTATATGTGCTATTCAAACCAGACTAAATTGAGTACCAAACACTTCTACGTACAGCATAAAAGCACATTAATTAATACTTTAAATGCCACATTATCTGGTTTTATAGGAAAGACGATATAGACTTTGGTGCATAAATTTTCGTTTTGAAGCATTTATATTATTGGAGCATGGAGTTGTTGAGCGCATATGGAATATACTTACAGTCCCAACTGTTTCGACGGCTTCTGATTTAGGTTTCGGAGAAATTACTAATTGTCACCAAACAATTATGTGTGACACCAACCTCAGTTAATTAACAATCTTAAATATGTTGAAACCTTCATTACTTCTAAACAACATGTCACTGCACGTATCTGCACGCAAATGTTTTTCTTTGGTGTCATTTTTCGTCGACCTACTTCAAAATTAGATCACACACTGCAACAAAGGAGAAATAAGAGTGTGTATGTGGGTCTGTATAATATATATACACACACGTGAGGAGCCAATGAGGGACAAATTATTATTATTATTATTTTGTACTCATACATTAAAAATAAGAAAATTTAATAATGTTTTTTTAACCTTTTAAAAATTAAATGGGCCTTGGGGCAACCTGGGCTAACGCCAGGGCCACCTCCGCCCCACTCCGCCCCTGAGGAAAGGCTTGTGAACGGAAGAGCTTATGACAGGCTTGACCTACTTCATAGGGCTGAATATGGGTCGGCTCAGAACCGAACTGATTCAAAATTTTCAGATTGTTAATAAATGAAACCCGAAGAGAATCGAACCGATCCAAAATTTTCGGATTTTTAATAAATGAAACCGTCGGGTCCAAATATAATTATCGATTCGGTTCCGTTCAGTTATGTTCGATTCCGTACCATAATTAAAATTTTTAACATTTACAGCAATACTACATAAATACAACTAATGACATGTTCATTCGTAACTTTTACAAACTAACGTAGTCAAATTTAAAAACATATAAATAACAAGATGTCTAATAAGATTAATTCAATGTATAGAAAAAGCGAAAAGTAGATACTAATATTAAAACATCGGTTATCCATATCAATAATTCCTTTACTTCAAGCAGGTTGCATAAAGAAAATGAAATATAAATTAAAAGTTATAAAAATAAAATATTTTTAAGTATTCGTGATACTTACCAACTATTTGATTCAATCATCAATTGTATCACTTGTCATAGTAAGAAACTCTACAAGTATAACTGAAAAAACACAATTAACAAACATAAATAAACTAAAAATTGTTCAACTAATAAGATTTAATAATAAGATTTACTAATTTGTTTAAAAAAAATTAAAATAATTTAATTAATTCAATATAAAAATTAAAAAATTATTTAGATTCAATTCTTATTCGATTTTTCGGTACCTGGTCCAGAGCTGAAACCGACCCAAAAATATCGATTCTCGATTCAGATACCCGTTCAAGTATTTAACTTATGAAGAACAGCTCGGTTCGATTTGGCTCGGTCCGGTTCGAGAGTTTTGTCCAACTCTACTACTTCGTTCCTTTCTAAAGCTCTATTCACGAATGAAGTGTTGGACCACTGGAAACGATTGTAACACCAGAACATTCTTATAAATTTTTTGTTCAGCCTTGTGAATCTAAACAGAAAGGAAAACAAGAAGGGTAAGTACTAGAGTTTCAAAGAATTAAAGAGTAATCCTATGGAAG